CATGCATGTATGGTTCCCAGATAGTAGGCACTCAATAAATGGATATTATTATTATTGCTACTAATGTTATTTTTTAGATCTAGCTTTGGCAAAGAGGAAAAAAGAATACAGCAAACATTACTGGCTCCAACCTGTAAGATAAAACTGAAAATCAACAGAGGGTGGAAAAAAAAAGAAAAACTATAGGGCTGGGGTTGTGGCTCAGTGGTAGAATACTTGCCTAGCACACATGACACACTGGGTTCAATCCCCAGCATCACATAAAAAAACTAAACAAACAAAATAAAGGTATTGTGTTCATCTACAACTAAAAACATTTTTTTTTAAAAAAGGAAAACTATAATACAAAAGAAAAAAAAACAGCAACAGGAATATTGGTTTTTAATCACATATATCAGCTAGGTGTAGTGGCACACTGCATCTAATTTAGTTCAGATGTCAACTTCTTCTAGGAATCCCTAATTCCTTCTTCCCAGACTAGATGCATAACAGAGTTAGCACGTACTTGTTATAATCCCAGGAACTGAGGAGGTTGAGGCAGCAGGATGGTAAGTTTGAGGCCAGCCTCAGCAACTTAGTGAGACCCTAAGCAACTTAGCAAGACCCTGTTTCAAAATAAAAAGGATTGGAATATATAGTCTGTGGTAAAGTACCCATGGGTTCTATTGCCAGTACAAAATAATAATATCATATATCTATTACAAAACAGCTCAAGACACAGCCATTTTCTGGTTGACATAGGTCTTTTACAAATTTAGTTCCTTCAAAGAACGCACTGATTTTCTTTTTTCTTGGGGAGTGGGCTACCAGGGATTGAACTCAGGGGCTCACAACTACGGAGCCACATCCCCAGCTCTATTTTGTATTTTATTTACAGAGAGGATCTCACTGAGTTGCTTAGGACCTTGCTAAATTGCCGAGGCTGGCTTTGAACTCAGAATCCTCCTGTCTCAGCCTCCTGAGCCTCTGGGATTACAGGTGTGCACCACCTTACCCAGCCTAATTTTCTTCATCAATCTGGCTGCCCCAAAACAGCAACTAGACTCCCCAGAAATGTCTACAGCCCTGAGAGATATTACACTCTGAAGTCTTTTCATATAAAGAAAAAAGCTTTGTGTTCATAATAGACTATAAAGATGTTCTGTTTAAGTAAAAACTATTTGGGCACCTGAATTCAAACTCATTTGTCTTGATAATCTGAAGGATGACCAGTTTCAATCTAAAGAGTTGGACTTTTAACAGGGACCCAAGAATGCCCTGAAAAATCTAAACCAGATTTTCTGTGTATGGACAATTTTCTGTGGAAAAGGTCAAAGCAGCTTTCATCAAAATGTAAAAGTTGAGCCAAGTGCGATGGTACATGCTTATAATCCCAGCTATTCCAGACAGTGAGACAAAAGGATAACAAATTCAATCAATTCCAAAATCGATCCCAAGTTTGAGGCCAGCCTGAGCAACTGAGGAGACCCAGCCTCAAAACAATATTAAGCCGGTTACATGCACCTGTGATCCCAGAGGCTTGAAAGGCTGAGGCAGGAAGATCTACAGTTCAAAGCCAGCCTGGGTAAGCACCCCTGGGTTCAATCCCTGGTACCCCAAAAAAAAAAAAAAATTTAAAGGATTAGGGGTTTAGCTCATTGGTAGAGCACTTGCCTAGCATGTCTAGGCCCTGGCTTCCATTCCCAGCACCAAAAAAAAAAAAAAAGTCAAAGTGGTTAAATCACCAACCCTTCCAAAAAAATGTTAAATATTCTCAACACAGCCTCTCTCAACCTCTTTTTCTTTTGGGCAGGTGAACTCTACCACTGAGCCACATTCCCAGGCCTATTTTGTATTTTATTTAGACACAGGCTCTCACTGAGTTGCTTTGGGCCTCACTAACTTGCTGAGGCTTTCAATTTAGGATCTTCCTGTCTCAGCCTCCTAAACCACTGGGATTATAGGTGTGCACCACCCGGCCCAGCCCTCAACCTCTTAATAGGTTGGGGTAAGCAGATCTCACAGCAGTTTTTTTCCCCCAGTACTAGGGATAGAATCCTAGGTCTCACAAATGCTGGGCAGGCACTCTACCACTAAGCTACATCCCTTGGTCCTTTTAAATTTGAGAGAGTCTCCCTAAATTGCCTAGGCTGGCTTTGAACTTGCAATCCTACCTCAGCTTTCCAAGCAGCTGGAATTACAGGCATGTACCACTGTGTCTGACTTCAATGCAAATATTTTGAAGTGACAATTTAATAAAAACTCTAAGTTCCATGTCGGCTTATGTTATCAAAATTCTAAGCATATTTCTCCCTTGCTTTTAGCATTATTCATATCAGAGTTTTCTTCTTCCAGCCCCTACTATCTACCAAGCCCCATCTTCACAGTCAAAGAGGTCATTTCTACTTGAAATGGTTTTATGGGTCCCGCCATGAAAAACTGATGCCTACTTAAGCAGGTTCCAGTTTACATTCAAATTCATTATTGCTAACATTTCCCTTCGTTTTATGATTTGTGACTTGAACACTAAGTACAAATGAAGGACACCTTGCCATATGACTCTCTCGCTCCTATTTATATATATTAAAAATGTCTGAACTCCTTAATTTGATGCAAACAGCTGTACCCATATATTTTGAGGAACTGATCTATTCAAGCTATGGAAAAAGCAACTCTAGTTCTGCACTCCAGCCTGGATGCTTCAATGTTATCAACTAATCACATGATGACCACTGTGTTAAATACAAATTCACACATTCCCTCAGGTTAGAAAAACAGAACTGCTCTGTTTCAATCCATTTCTAACCAGTTTCCATTACCAGTTGATATCATTTCCCCGCTAGTGTGTTCTGATGAAATCTGTAACCTCTAACTCATTTACTATTTATATAATGTGTTTATATTTTAGCAATTGTAACCTTTCAGTACATAAAGCAAAGGGAAAGGAAGGTAACGAGTTGAAGAATATACATCAAGAGGAAAATTAATTTTAGATTCAATGACATGAGACAAAATTAAACCTTGACGTTACATAAAACTAAGTATCTAATATACCAGATAAGTTTAAAACTGATCCCCACTGAAAATAATATCTTAAATTTATCTTTAACAACTGTTTCTTTTATTCAAAGCAAAATTAAGTTGCAGAACTAGTAACTACTTCTGTTACAACCAACTCAGAGCTTTTATAAGTCCTCTCTTCGCGAAAAACCACTGAGAAAAGCAAACTTAAAAAACACTCAAATCACAGTCTCTGTGTCTAGGAAGTTACCCAATTCACCAAGCACTGTCATAGTCAGCAATGCAGTCCTACTTATTACTTCCATTTAATTGCCAAAACATCGCAAAGATGCAGATAATGAATAATGCACTTGGTGACACAATACAGAAACTTCCAGTCTTACCCAAGAGTATGGAAAATAAGGGGGAAAAAACTGAAATTAGAAAAAAACTTAAGCTCACAAAGTACTAATGGAAGATAGAAGTACTTAGGAAATCCAGCACTGACCTCTACCTTGAAGCAGGCAAGCCAATCAACCTTCTCTCACAGTAAAACAATTAGGGATATTAATCAAAACTAACCAGGTTTTCCAGGAGCAACACTCAACATTCTCATAGGTAAACAATTCTGAATTGAACAGAATCATGCAGGATAAAAACATTGTGAAATCAGTATACACATCACACTGGAATGGAACTTATCTTTCCTCTGCGCCACAATGCCTGCAGTGAAAAATGTGGACTAACAATATTTAAAGAACAGAGAAAATGACACTTGACAAAAACCAATGACCTGAAATGACTCTGGAAGGGAGATGCCTTTTCCTTCTCAAAGTAATTGATACAGACAAGAATCAAACTAGATTGTGAAATAATCTGTGGCCCTCGGAGGAGTTACTTACTCAAACATCCTACTATCTCTAAAAATCAAATTCATCATGATTCAAACCCCAAAACACATCCAACCAATTATTATTGATTAACAGAAATACAAGGGATGAGAGAAGGAGGAGGTGCATGAAATGCAACCCTCGGTAGCTAACTAACACCTTTCTATACCTCTATGGAATTCATTAATAAAATGTTCTACCTTCCTCAGCTAGTTTTTGACTAAAACACCTCATCACCAAGACTTTTCAATCAAAGCTGTCCAAAATTCCACACTCGAGCAAATAACGTAAGACACAATACTAGCGTTTCCTCCAGGAGCCCCGCTACCCTGTAAAACATCAGGCCTACGAAGAGCAAATTAAAGCCCTTTAGAAATATTCGTCCTAACACAAGCCTTCCAAGCAGTGAGACCTTTGGGGGTGATGGGTAATGTCAGTTAACTTCCTCTTCCTTTAAAAAGGTCAAAGACAGGGAAGCGTCCGGTGTAACATTTCCTCCTTAGATCGCGCTCCACCACAAACCACATCACAACTCCCCCAATCGTTAAAAAACATTAGCCAGAGGGAAGGCTTTTTTGTACGTTTCACCGTAGACTGAAAATCCAACTTACCTCGGGAACGAGCTGATTGGTTTCAAACAGGAAATTTACCAATAAAGTTTATTATGTATTAATAATGATTCGGGGAGCCCACCAAGGCCCGCTGCAAAGGGAGCTGAAGGGAGAGGAGGAGTAGGAGGGTGTGTATCCTCACCACAACCAGAGGAAAGCCTCGCCTGCGGGGTCGATCCCAGGCACCAGCAAATTCTGCCCCATAAAGGGGAGGGGGGCCACAGGAGGAAGAGGAGGCAGCGACAAGAGAGAAKGTTCCCCAGATCTAAAAGGGAAGGGCTGCAGAAGCATGGCCGAGTGGAGCTAGTTTTCACCGTACTGCGGAGGGTCCCAGTGCGCCCCGCAGTGCTGCTGCCGGGGAACCCCAAAAGCTCCGGCCAAGCCCGGTGCCTGGGCTTGAGCGGCAGTCCCTTTCCTGGCTGAAGGGTGGCGGCGGGCAAGAGGGTCCCCCCGGACTGCGGGGTCCCCCCGGGCTGCGGCAACGAGAGCCGAAGGGCCGGCAGGAAGGTGAAAAGGATACTGTTGGGGCGCCTGGGTCTGGAGGGCCCTGATGTTCGGGTGAGGAGGGGCCGCTGCTGCCGCCGCCGCCGCCGCCGCTGCTGCCGCCGCCGGGTGAGGAGGCGGTACCGCTGCTGCCGCTGCTGCTGCCGCCGCCGCCGCCGCCGCCGCTCCGGTGCCGGGTCCGGTTCCTGCTGCAGCCGCTGAGCCTGATTTCAGAGCCGGTTTCTGCGGTAAACTCATGGCAAAGCGAAGCCACCAACCCCCCCAGAGCGGGACCGGGCGCGCCGGGGTGCAGGGGCCGGGGGCAGCGGGGGGGCGGGTTGGGGGCTGACCCGGGGAGGCGGCGGGAGCGGGGGGCCGGGGGGAGGCTGGGAGGAGGAGGAGGAGGGGGCCGGGGCCGGTCACACACGCCCTCCGCCGCCGCCGCCGCCGCCGCCGCCGCCGCCGGCAGCAGCAGCCGCCCCGCGGGCCAGCACCACCGGCTGCCGGTCTCCGTGACAACGCGACCCCAGGGGGGGGGCCGGACCCGGCGGGGGCAGGAGGCGGAGAGACCGGACCTTTCACGGCAATATCCTCATGGGCCGGCGGCGGGGGGTCTTTATCCCCCTCCCCGGGGGAARCGGCGCCCTTCTCGGTAGCGGGGCTCAGGCGATGCCGGCGGATTTTCTTCACTCAACGAGCAGAGCATCCAACATGGCGCTGCGGCCGCCTCCAGCAGTCCGGCAGGACGGCCGCTCGGAAAACTTCGGGTATTTTCGGAATGACTCGGTAGGCCGAGGATGGGAAGCACCTTCGGCTCTTTCCGGAGACAGAGAGCGGTCGGGATTCTTCGGAAGCGTTCGGGCGCGTCTTCGGTCTCCGTTCGGGAGCGCTCTAGGACTGACTGCCTGCCTCGGGAAAGATCGGCTAGGGGGCTTCTCGGGCTCGCCGCCGGCGAGTGCGGGGCGGAGGGAGAGACCAAAGGCGAGGTCTGGCCTGCGAGAGCCCTCCCCTGCGGCCCAGCCTCGAAGAACAATGGTAACGGCCTGGGAGTCTGCGGTCGGCAGAGCCCTGCCCGCAGGGGCGGCGAGGCGACAAACCCCAGTTCCTGCGGAGAGAACCGCTTAACCTGAGCGAAAGCGGGAGGATAGGAACCCGCCCGCCGCGGGCACTTATTAGCATAACAAATACCAGTCTGCGGCCCTTGGCGACGCATTTCACATCCATTATGTCGACACGCTGTCCCATTGGGAGGGAATTGGAATGAGGAGGCCGCGGGAGGAAAAGTGACCGGTCCAAGGTCACTCAGCTGGGCAGGGACTGAGCCAGCCAAGCCTGGATCGGAATTCCACTTTCTTTGGGAGGAACCTTGCCTGGTCCCAAGTTGATCTGACCCGCCCTATCTAGTCGGCATCCTTAACCGAGGGCTCTGGACGGGCTCTTCGGAAAGCCTACCCCAGGAGTGGCGCGCCCCTTGAGGGGGCAGCCCATGGTCTTCTCCTCACGTCCGTCGGATGCTGGGGCAACACTCGTTGATAAGGTCTTTTAATCCCCACGCTGGCTCCATCACGATCACTCCCACCCTCACCCCGCACACCCAGCCCCGTGCAAGAGCCTCGTCCCGAGCGCTCAGTAGCACTGAGGGAAAAGGAGCCTCCGGATCTCGGAGTAGTCCAGTGGCCATCGGGCATGGCACTGAGCCTTCACTAGCTCATGCAGTCCTGTGAAGTCCAAGTGGAGAAACTGAGGCCAAGAAAGGCTCAATACCATCACACACACACACACACACACACACACACACAAGGAAATTGAGACTCAAAACGAACTGGAGACTTGCCAGGGTCGTGTGGACAATAGTTGACCGTCCCAGTTCTGACTCCTGCGACACTGCCTCACCCTGTCCGCCTGCCTTCTATTTTTTTTTTTTTCAATTAAAGCTTTACATGTAGTGGATGCTTAATTCATGACAGCCCCTGGGGTCCCCAGAAGCGCCCACTGGGATAAAAGAGCAGATACCACCACTGCCACCGCTGTTGGCTGAGGCTCCACAATTCCCTGGTGAAAAGAAAATCTCATCCCCATCTCCACACAGGAAGGCAGCAGCTACTTCCTACTGAGGAATCCTAAATCGTTTGGATTTGTAACACCTTGTTATCTAGGATTGGATTTCTGCAGCCTCTCCAGTCTTGCCTGGAAAAATTCCCAAGAGGTCCTTAAGTTCCCCAGATTCTCATTTCATGTTCTGAGATCTCAGGCTTCTTTATCCCAATCAAAACCTGTTCCCAGAAAAAGATTTGACTTCTCATTTACACTAGGGTGATAACAAACTGATAATTGCTTAATTGTTATTCTTTTCTGAGCTAGTTTCATTTCCTAACTTAATAGCTACAAGCATCAGGCAATTAGTGTGTGCCTGGTCCTTGCTAAGCACTTCAGGAACATCTATCTCTTTTGAAACAGATAGACCTTGGGCAAAATAATGTCAAAGTCCCTGATAAGATTCTGGCCTCAGGCTATCAAAGGGGGAAGSTTGTAGAGAGCAAAGTCAAAAAGATACAGCTCCCTCATCCAAAAGCATGGCCCTGCTTAACACCTCCCCACTACTTACTACAAAACAGCTAATGTTTATTGATTACCCACTATGTGCCAAGGTACAATTGTGCTAAACATTTTTCTTACATCAACACAGTCCCCTAACAATCTGTAAGATGAATATATTCTCATTTTCGATTAAAGATACTGAGATTCAAAGATGTGAAAAGGCARCACGTGTAACTTTTAAGTGGAACTGTTGAGATTCAAACCCAAGGCACCAACTCCAGGTCAGCTCTGCTACACTGCCTGCAACATAGTCATCTCTTCACCACAGCCAGAGTCACTGTCAAGAAGAAAAGCTGCTTTGGGCTGGGCAAGTGGTACACGCCTGTAAGTCCCAGCTATTCAGGAAAATGAAGCAGGAGGATTGCAAGTTTAAGGCCAGCCTGTGCAACTGAGCAAGACCCTAACTCAAAATAAAAAGTAAAAAGGGCTGGGGTCTTAGCTCTGTTGAGTATTCACCTTGCATGTGTTAGACCCTGGTTTTGATCCCTTGTGCCACAAAAAAAATAAATAAATAAATAAAAAGAAAGAAAATCTGATTCGGGAGGGAGTGGGGGAGGTACTGGGGATTGAACTCAGGGGCACTCAACCACTGAGCCACATCCCCAGCCCTATTTTGTATTTATTATTAGAGACAGGGTCTCTCTGAGTTGAGGCTGGCTTCGAACTCTCAATCCTCCTGCCTCAGCCTCCTGAGCCACTGGAATTACAGGCACCGCCACTGCACCTGGCTAGAAAAGATGATTTTTTTGTTAACTTGCCTTTCATTGACTTCAGGATTATATCTAAATCCAGGGCCCTTTAGGATCTGGGTGCTACTTTCAGCCTGCTGCTACATTCCACCTTGAATCCAGAGCATCTCGGTCTTTTGCCACAATGCCATCATTCTTGCCCTGGGGCCTATATGCTGACTGCTACTATTACCTGTACCACCAAACCATCCTCTGTCCCCTTAGCCAATTGGCTAATTGCTGCTCCGGAGCTTGGCTCAAGCATCACCTCCTGCAGGCAGCCCTTTTTCTTACTCCTGGGCTGAGCTGGGCAGGGCTCCCAGGACACCCAGGGCCCCCGGGGCAGTGGAAGCTTTCACCTCTTAGGGCACTCCCTTTGGAACCAAATTATCTGAGAGTGATTCTCCGCCCTGCCAATTATTACTGTATGACCTTAGAGAAAACGCTTCACCTCAAGCCACAGTTCTCATCTGTAAAATAGATTCTATCTTCTGGAGTTATCATGAGAAATAAAACAAATACAAAGCCCATTCCCTGGCTCATAGTCACATTTTATTTTTATCTTTTTTTTTTTTTTTTTTTTTTTTTTTTTTTTTTTTGGTGCTGGGGATTGAACCCAGGGCCTTGTGCATGCAAGGCAAGCACTCTACCAATGGAGCTATAGCCCCAGCCCTCATGGTCATTTTTTTAATACATTTTACCTATTATTCATTTATGTGGGGTCATTTCTTGGTCATTTAAAGTGTCCCTTAGAGCTAGCACTCAATAAATAGGATGTGACATTTGCTGAGTGAGTTGCCAGAAGATTTGGTGTTATCCTGGAAAAGTCCTAGGCAACAGGGCCCAGGCCTCACTGCATCAGGAGAAAGAAGGAGAGGAGTACTGGGTCTTGAGCAGCCAGCCCTCTGCTGTTTCTAGAGCCCCGGGACAGGTGAGGAGGACTTAGGAATCTTCTCATGACCCAGTGACTTGTTGGCATGTGGGATCATTGCTCTTTTTCTCTCGGTGAACTGGGATCGGGCTTAAGGTGGCAAGAGCCTTAATTTCTTTTTCTTTTCCTCCTCTCCTTCTCCTTCCTCTCCTCATTCTCCTCCCTCTCCTTTTTTAAGACAGGGTCTTAATTATTTTGCCCTGCTTGGGCTCAAACASTAGCTGAGACTACAAGCATGTACCTCCACGCCCAGACTCCTAATGTCTTTTTTTCTTTTATTTTTATTTTTTTTATTTTGAGACAGGGCCTCACTAAGTTGCTAAGGCTGACGTTGAACTTGCAATCCTCCTACCTCAGCCTCCTAAATTGCAAGGTTATAGGCATGTGCCACTATGCCCAACTCTTCATAGTCATTT